TCAACGAAAGGAATTAATTTCTACGAACCATAGCCCTCCTTCTGGACCTCTTACCGTGATCGGGTATATTCCCTTATACCTCAAGAACGGATTAACGGAAGCGGGTACTCACACAGGGCGATTGAGACATCTGCAAGAAATATATGCATCGGTGATGTCAAAACAAAAGCTATTTCAGCAATTTATACTTGTTTATTAAAAGACCCACAATTACTTATTTTAAGCGCGCGTCGGCGACACAAGATCTGCTCATAAAATGAATTAACATTTAGCGGTTCGCGCAAACCTTATCTACAACCGGAGAAAAACATGAGATAAGCTTTTCATAAATTACGCACATAATTTCGAGATCTTTCTTATTTTTTAACACATAATTTCTTTACAATTAAATAAACCAATTAAAATGCGGCTACTGGCTCTGGCGTATGTCAGGTGGACTATGTACTTTTACCTGCAACGCTCAAGGCGAGATTCTCGAAATCAAATATATCACAGATTCTAAATATTCCAAATATTATTAAGTAATTATTAGGTACCCAGTTCGGATAAATAGTGCAAGAGCCGTTATGTTAATTAACATTGTACAACAAAACAAAGAACCATGTCGTGGCAAAATTGATAATTTTGACTAACGCAATTCACCTCCAGTATAGAGTAAAGCAATAGTAATAAAGATTGACCTATCAGACCTGTAAAGGAAATGAATTGCTGAAAGAATTTCAAGCAGAAATAAAAATGTTGACGTCCATGTCCAAACTGCAGCAACCAGGGAAAACGTAGGTAGGTAGGCAATGTAATAAACACAATCGGTGACTGTAAAGAATTATAAATGTCAGTAACCCCTCTGCCATGGCATTTACCATTTAGCAAATCATGCAATACAATCATGTAATCACTTGGTATGTAAAAAACGAAAGTTACCTGAGAAAATGGCCGAAGTACCGGTTTATTTTTTTCCAGTGCTCGAAATACTTTCTTCCGCACCCGCCCCCTCCGCCTCCCCTTTTACACAAACCTATTCGACAACAAACGGAATTCCTTTTATCTTTGATTCGCCTGCCAGTGGCGTCTCTTCGGGAAAAATAAATTTGGGGCCTTCTCTTTTTTTAGAAAATAAATACCGTCACTATTTAATCGAATTTAGCGCGCAAAGTCAGTTCCATCACAATTTCAAGAACTATCCCCAAAATCCATGTACTTACTACAGAAATTACAGGAATTACATAAACGCTACAGAGGCCTACTACGAACAAGTGAATTAATTTAAGAATGGTATCCAATTTATGAGCTATTTAGGAGCTTTTCATATCGCAAGCTTAAAATTTTAGAGCTCGCTTTAATCACTAGGAATCGATCATTTCTTATGGGGTGGCCGAGTCTACTTGGACTCAGCCCCCCCACTGATCAGAATTACTTTTTTCAAATTAAATTTTGTACTGGAATTACGAGCTATTTAAGAGCTTTCATTTACAAGTACTTTCGATTTTTGAGCGCCACTCCTAAAAGAGCAAATAGATATAATCGATGGGGCGGCCAGCTCCACTTGGACGTAGCCCCTCCTGTGTTATGGTTTACTTATTTCAAATTAATTTTTATGCATGAATTACGAGTTATTTAAGAGCTTTCATTTACAAGTAATTGCAATTTTTAAGCGTCACTCTTAAAAAGAGCAAATAGATGTCATCCTGGGAGCGGCCAGGTCTATTCTGGCGTAGCCCCTAATCTGTTTTTCTTTATTTATTACAAATTAATCTTTGTCCATGAATGACGAGTATAATTATATAAGTAAGTTTAATTTTGGAGCTCCACACTCAATAGGTCAAATAGTCAATCTTTGAGGGCGGCCAGGTCCATTTCACAGTAGCCTTACCTCTGAGCTACCGGTTAGTTGCATCAGCACGTACTCTCTGTGAGTTTTGAGTGAATTTGTTTGTGTTAAAAGTGAAAACTTGGGGTGGTTTTGAATGTTTTCTCATCAGTGTTAGCAGCTAATCGGACCGATCTATGTCTTCTTTTGAACTATTGCGGAATCCAGAAGCGTTTCTTTTGGATCGCAAAAACCTAAATTCCAAGAGTCAGAGGGCCGAAGTAGATGCGTGGCTGAATAGATGATCACCAACTACTGGCTCCAACTTCGGAGCACCGGGCGCCACACCGTTGTATTAAGTCGCCTTAGACGTGTGCAGGGGGCTCGACGCGTGTGGACATTTCTTTCCCCCATACTCGTGGCACTCTTATGGCCCAAGAAAAAACAGAAAACACAACAAACTACTCCGAGAGCACCGGCATTAAAGAGCCTAAAAAACTCTCCGGGGCGGCGCACCGAAAGCTAATAGGAGGAGGCTCTCGGTAAGATCAAAGCCTGGATCCTTGACAGAGTCGACGCTTTTCCCCAATTTACGGAATGTCGGCACGAGGGAGAGCGCTGTTGATCACATGCGCAAACCAGGTTTCGGTGGACAGCTTGAGGTCAGAGCTAGCGAGAGCAGCTCCAGGGGGGGGGGGCGAGATTTTTGATTCTTCGAAACGAAGACCGTAAGGACACACGCCTGGATCCTCAAGTGGAACCTGAGAAGATCCCGAAAAGGATCGAAAGCCAAAATGCTGGGGATTAAATGATGCGGGCTACACCACAGTGTTGCCTTTACCGATGACATAGTGATTGTAGTACGTAGGGGATTTGAGGAGACCGTATCAGTTAAGAGGCAAGGAGCTTTAAATCTAGTGGGAACATAGTGCGAAGAAGAGGGCTTGTCTGTTAATTCAACAGAAAAAAAACTTCATTAGCTTTTCTCACGTGCATAAGGGCCGACAAAGCTAAAGGACGTTGCAATGTAGGGCACCAAGCTACAGGTAGTGAGAGAAGGTAAATACTTGGGCATTGCGTTTGGCCAAGCGCCTAACTTCAAATCACAAATGGAAAAAATAGCGAACAACGTCACAAGGTCCCTGGATATACACTAATATAATACCAGTTATTACGTATGTGTGTGGTAGAATCAGACCTTCGCCCAGAAGAACATACAGATACTGATCAAGCTGCAGCGCAAAGCTTGCCTTAGAATTACGAGGACAATGATAACGTCCCTGACAGTAGCTATAGAGACTATATGAACTGACCGTCACTACACCTGGTAATTATAGCAGAGGCATTCAGACAGGCATACTGGCTGAGAGTCAATGGAGAGGAGGAATCGTCAAGGGTAGGATAACTGAGAGGATAACCAAAACAGTTTGTGATAAAAAAAACCTGTTTAAGATGATAATCCCCGCTCGATACGAATGGGAGGGTTATACCAGTATGGTAAAGCTGAATGGAATCGTGCATTACACAAATGGCTCAAAAACTACGGAGGGCACCGGCTGTGGAGTGTACGGAAGCAATTGACAGGGCTTCAGAATCTAGGACAAAAAGCAACCGTGCTCCAAGCCGAGGTATACGCAATCCTGACTGCAGTTGCTCAATTATATTAACAGAAAACCTTACTAAAAGGAAAATCTTTAGAGTAACAGACAACAAAGCACCGAGTGCAGAATTAGACTCATATGTAATCGATTCAGGACTTTTGCTTGGATGCACACAGAGGTACTAAACGCACTAGGAAGCTCTAACACAGTCACAAGTGGAACTGGCCGCCCCGTCGATTATATCTATTTGCTCTTTTAGGAGTGGCGCTCAAAAATCGAAATTGGTTGTAAATGAAAGCTCTTAAATAGCTCGTAATTCCAGTACAAAATTTAATTTGAAAAAAGTAATTCTGATCAGTGGGGGGGCTGAGTCCAAGTAGACTCGGCCACCCCATAAGAAATGTTCGATTCCCAGTGATTAAAGCGAGCTCTAAAATTTTAAGCTTGCGATATGAAAAGCTCCTAAATAGCTCATAAATTGGATACCATTCTTAAATTGATTCACAATGGTGGGGGGGCTAGGTCCAGCGGGGTAGTTTTTAAGCAGATACTATACGGGGTGTCCTAAAACTTGTATGGCATCAAATTTGTAGATATTTTTCTAATTGATACCAAGTGTGGTAATGATAAATGGCATCGATAAATACACTGCTAGTATGTCATAATCGCAAAAACAACTCCACGTCAAGATGTGGTTGTATATTTCGAATAATTTGAAACATATGGCTAATATGCGTCGTGGGATGATATTTATTGTGACAATTCTTACTTCCTTCCCTCTGCACCTTGTTTTTCACTTTAAGTATGTAAATTTAATTTAATGGCGTAAACACGGACTCGTCATAAATGATAAATGGTTGGGTCGAACAGACTTCGGCTATGGTGGTGGTTGGTCCCTGCAAGTTTGGTTATACGCCTTCCCCGAAAAATTATTTATTTGATACGATAAATCTCGGGCACACCATTGGCACAAACCCAAATAAACTTTCCATCGACTAGACGTTATGTCTTGACAGATCTCGCCTCTTGCGTGAACTCCTTGTACGTTGCCGTTTCCAATTTTTCAACGTCGAACAATTTGCGTTCTCGGAGACACCAATTCCGATCAACATTTTTGGCCACCGCCGTCGATTACGATTTTTTGCCAAAATTTCCTCGGCGTTTTTTAAATCGACGCGCCCATGCCAAAAACCACAAAGGTATTTACTGTTGTGATGAAAACAAAGGTTGGTGGCGAACATTAAGAACACTCTCAGTCGTCGGAAATTTCGCGACGCAGAATATTTTCGTCTTATTTTTATCAAACTCGATTCACTTTTATCTCAAAATAGCGTTTGTATTTTAAATTTAAACTGATTATTATAAAATGCCTCGCATTGTTTGCCAAAAATGTTTTGTCTGGAAACGAAATGGGGTACCGGGTTACTTTGAAACTACGCACGAATTTTAAATGGAACCCTTCACGCATCTTTCCCCTTTTATTTTTATCGATGTACCTACGTGTGGTGCAACTCGCGTTGTGTCACTCACAATCTCTCATGATTTCTGAGCTGCTCTGTTGGAATGGAAATGAACTCGATGTTTACTTTCAGATTATCTTTCGGAAACAACCAGCGACAGAAATTCGTTACCGGCCGAAGAACACATGCTGCTGGACGACTTAAACGGAACCGAGAGTCTCAGGACTGTCAAAACGCAAATCGAGAAGCATTCGCCGCCTCCATCGTCCAATAGCTCGAAAAAGCAGCAGTTGGTAAACGATTTCCATGGGTTACTCCCCATTCACTAACATTTAACCCCTTAGATATCTGGGGAGACGTTTATATCCCCCTTAGGTGACGCGTTCCTGACGAGTGGAAGCGGAAGCGGAACCACCTTATTCTCGTCGGGGAGCGCCTTAACTGCCCAACACGAAATACAGCTCCTCAAAGAGCAGCTCGATCAGCAAAATCAGCAAACGCAAGCTGCCGTTGCCCAGCTGCAGCTGATTAGAGAACAACTCGCAGCCGAGCAGGTACGACGGTTATTTTGAAGGTGACTTCCAGTTAACGGTGATTTTTAGGGTGCCCGAGTCGAAGCGCAGGCTAGAACACACCAACTCTTGGTACAGAACAAGGAGCTGCTCGATCACATCGCCGCGCTCGTTGCGCATCTACAGGGCGGAGAGAAAACTTCGGCCCAATCACATACGGGTCCGCACGTTGCAATGCCACAGGTTTGTACGCATTTGTTGTTGGAATGGCTTGTACTCGCTTGGCACGTTGTCAACTGTTAATTTTGCAGTTATCGTGTTTTGTATCATTTGCTTGATTTTGCATATGAATTCGCCACAAAACACTATTAAAATCTTAATACATACGAAGAGCGCCAAAGGCGTATCGGTATGAATTTACTAGTCATAATTTGTATGGAGTGAAATAACTTTAGCAGCACCCTGTATACTAAATACTCAATAGAAAACAAAAACTCCAAGAAATGACAATAAAACTTTAAACCTCTAAAGCGGATCTAAAAAAGCGGCAGAATATCTCGGTTTGACCATTGGATTTGACCCATTTAAAATTGGCTTTTTACATGTGGCATATAGGCCAACTGTGCAAAGTTTGAACCGAATTGGTACAAGCGTTTGGAAGTTATCGTGTTCACGGACGGACAGACGGACACCATCGACTCCCCTATAAAGCTTACAACTCTTTGCTCTGCCGCTTAATAAATTAAATTTGGGGAAAAGACACTGTTAAAGTGTTACCATACTAAAAAAAATGTGCCTTTCTAAACATCATGTACGTAATTAATACTCTCCCTCTGATAAATCCGATCACTGAATATTTTCACCGGAAAATCCAGAAAATTTATCACCATTATATAATCTTATGAAGAATTTACAAAATATTCACTCAAAGAACATTTTCCTTCTGGATATTCAGCTATAAACTGTCCACATTGTGTACCCCCAGGTACGCTAACTTCACACTAATGACTATTCCCTCCAAAACTAAACAAGATCGCACTTAAATTTGAAAAGTGGCACGTGATCAAACATCTAAGGCAGGACCCCCTTACGTTAGTTGTAGACAACGCTTTGACCTGAAGCACAGTAGGGAAGGAACGTAAAATAAAACACTCAAATTGTGAAAAGTTTGTTTAATAATGATCGCAATTATTAAGATTGTGAAAGCTAGGAAATTTAAGTCGAAATAAATTACATTGCAAAAATAAACTTTGAAAATAGAAATAGGCTAGGAAAAAAAAGAACTTACCAATAAAAAAACCAGCCGTCAAATTAATATCAAATTGTGTTGTAAAATTAATTGTTTGTAATGATGTGAATGCGTACAATAAAATTATAACGTCACAAAAAGTAGCAGGTAAACTTCAAGAGGTAACATATAGGTTAAAAACAAGTTTTGGGAATTGTGCATCAGGTAAGCAGGTACCAAGATTCTAAGAAAGGGTGAAATACACAGAAATTACGAATCGTAACTCATTTATCGCACATACATTCTAAACTGAAGAGCTTTGATTAGCGTAATCCCGCTCCTGCAAGATGGGTAACCCGCTCCTGGTTTCGGAGTTTCGAGCCTACAGTTGGATGTCGAAGACAATCACGGAATTAGGTGTCGTACTTCAAATGGTTACAATTTTTACCACCCCCGTGACTGCTTCATTCACGGGGAAAATTGTTAGTAACAAACAACAAGTCTGTACATACATCAAACGAATCGGTAATTTCCACATATTAAAATAAAATTATCAAAACTTATATGAATGTTACTTCAGGGACAAGACCAAGTAATCAACATCAATAAACATAAATTAAGCAAGTATTACACCAAAAACGTAAACAATTGCAAACAATAGCATAACGGTATCACATATGTGATTCTGCATTGCGGTTAAACCAAGTAAATTTCAAAAACAAAGATTCAAACACACAAAAAATATAGAATGTGGCATACAAAACACAAATACAATATAAAAAAGTGCAGAAATTACTACCTGCATTAAATAACACAAAATATCAACAAACATTTATGGAGCGACGCGTTCACGACCGCCATTCAAGACAAGATGCCCAAAACGTAACCCACATTCCCGCTTTTTAGATGGTGCAAGTAGCTTTTCCCCACCTAGAAATTGCATGGTTGCCAACTCTCAAAAATGTATGTATCGTCGTAAGTTGTATATACAGGGTGGGGTGGAACCTTTCAACATAACAATATTAGTCTTTGAAAAATTGGTCTCCGAATTCGTTCCCGGAAAAGTCACTCCCAGAATATTCATCAATGCAATATTCTTCCCAGAAAAAGTGGTTCCTAGGATTCTCTTGAAACTTCGTCTTCGGAAAGTTTACCCCCGTAATGAGAAATTCGTTTCCGTAAAATTCTTCTCTTCCGTAAAGTTTGCCTGTGAAAAAATTCACTCCTCCCCTGAAGATTCCGTTCCCGAATTCGTCCTCGGAAAATTCCCTCGCGGAATGTTTGCTACCGAAATATTACCTCCGGAAAGTTCCCCCCTGATATATTCACCCAGTAGCATATTTGCACCGGACTATTCATTCGGCTCCGAAGTCCTTTCAAAATTCTTTGCGGGAAAATTCACTCTCAGAATATTCATCAAAGCAATATTCTACCCGGAAAAGTTAGTCCCTAGGATTCTCTTGAAACTTCGTTTTCGGAAAGTTCGCTCCCGTAATGAGAAACTCGTTTCCGTAAAATTCCTCTCTTCCGTAAAGTTTGCCTGTGAAAAAATTCACTCCTCCCCTGAAGATTCCTTTCTCGAATTCGTCGTCGGAAAATTCCCTCGCGGAATGTTCACTACTGGAATATCACCTCCGGAAAATTGGCCTCGGAAATATTCACCCAAAAGCATATTCGCACCGGACTATTCATTCGGCTGCGAAGTCCTTTGAAAATTCGTCCTCTGAAAATTCACTCCCAGAATATTAATCAAAGCAATATTCTCCCCAGAAAAATTAGTCACTAGGATTCTCTTGAAACTTCGTCTTCGGAAAGTTCGCCTCCGTAATGAGAAACTCGTTTCCGTAAAATTCCTCTCTTCCGTAAAGTTCGCCTGTGAAAAAAATCACTCCTCCCCTGAAGATTCCTTTCTCGAATTCGTCGTCGGAAAATTCCCTCGCGGAATGTTCACTACTGGAATATCACCTCCGGAAAATTGCCCTCGGAAATATTCACCCAAAAGCATATTCGCACCGGACTATTCATTCGGCTGCGAAGTCCTTTGAAAATTCGTCCTCTGAAAATTCACTCCCAGAATATTAATCAAAGCAATATTCTCCCCAGAAAAATTAGTCACTAGGATTCTCTTGAAACTTCGTCTTCGGAAAGTTCGCCCCCGTAATGAGAAATTCGTTTCCGTAAAATTCCTCTCTTCCGTAAGGTTTTCCTGTGAAAAATTTCACTCCTCTCCTGAAGATTCCGTTCCCGAATTCGTCCTCGGAAAATTGCCCTCCGAAATATTCACCCAAAAGCATATTCGCACCGGAGTATTCATTCGGCTCCGAAGTCCTTTGAAGATTCTTTTCCGGAAAATTCTCCTCGGGAAAATCGGTCGTTGAATTCGCTCTCTCCCTTAAAATAACTCGTTCTTGAAAGCTTACTCAGGAAAACTCAAACCACAAAGGTTATCCTCAGGTCTGTGATAAACCGTATCTGTTACGGAGACGAATATGGTGGGAGCGAGTATTTCTTAGTCGATCTTTCTGCATTTTTGTTGAGCACATGCAAGAGATATCAAAATAGTTTTATGCACTACTTTCGTTGGGAAAATGCAGAAATGCTTCAGCTCCATTTTGAAATTTTGGAAACAATATTTACTTATAACGTAGAAATCTGGTAGTTCGGCATCCAAGAAGTGAAATTTGCGCATTTTCTGAACGCTTAGCGTCTATTTTACCATTCTCCTTCAGAAAAATAAAATTATACAATTTTCTGTAAATTAATTAAAATACAATTGATTCTCGTCGAAAATCTGCAAAATTTCTCTCTGGAAAATTCTCTCCAAAAATATTCACCCAAGGAGTTTGTTTTCTGAATATTCACCTAAATAATATTTTACGGAAATGAGGTTCGTAGTAATTCACTTCGTTTCCAAAATATTCTCAACCGGAATATTGACTGCCACCTAAAAAATTGATTGAAGAATATTGATTTTGAAATATATGAGCATGAATATTCATTTGTTCACGAACTTTTCTGAAAATTCGTCTTGTTTCGGAAAGTTTACTTCCATAACATCTTTCCTTAAGAAACTGGTCACCGGAAAATGCGCCTGCAAAATTCGTCGCACCTGAACAATTTATTCCCGGAATGTCTCCTAGGGAAAATTCACCCAAGAGAATATTTTGAGTTTTGTGTTTACTACCCCTATTAATTCGCCTTCGTATCCTGCACATTTATCTTTAGAACATTTTGAAAATTCTCATCCGGAAATTTAGACTTTGCTACAAACCAAACATTCATTTCGAATTTCGGAAAATGAAATCTCTGAAAGATAGAAAAGCTTACAAAACATATTACCCCGCACGCAAGCGGTCGACAAATAAAACAAGAAATCTGAAATTACTTACAGTTTTTGTTAACAATCCAACTAATCTGGTCGTACAAGGTTTACGATACTGGGCGCACTACAACTGACACAAAAAAACACTCGCTGACAGCTTCAGGAAGCTTCACCTCACACAGAATTAGATGACTGACAAACTGGTTTGATGAATGAGATGACATATTTTCGGTGGCTGTTAGGACGGTAAAAACTTTTAACTTTTAATAAGGGAGAACCGTAACGGAAGGCCTCGCTGTACTACAACTTGATTTTTGAGCTCGACAAAACTTTATGCGTAATCGAACACATTGGTTAACTTGCATCTGCACAAATTTATTATAAAAATGACGAACTGCGTCTTCAACAAAACCAATGGGGCTGACTGCCCGAGAACTTGGCGCAAACAAAATATGTACACGCTTTTCAACCGTCGCGAAACTAGCAGCTTCGTTTTCTTGTTGTCGCCAGTATTTAATAAAACACTGCGTGCACCATAAATATAAACTCCTTCTTTAAGAATTTTTAAATAAATCACCAATCACGATGGAACGCGCCAAACGTCGCCAACTTTTCCAACATGAAACGCTCAATTCGAAACACCACCAAAACATGCGCGTTAGTTAAATTTCGCCTAACATTAAAACTTTTTATCGCAAACGACCAGGTGTGTCCTTATCTAAATTGAATAAATTGCAAAAAAAGAGAAAACAAACACTGAAATAAAAATTCAAATAAAACAAACCGACTCTGTGCGTATTTCGTTAGTAATCCCCAATATGTACTTAATAAACTGAAATATTCTTATATATACAGGGTATCACGTCATTGTTTTTGGTATTTAAGCCGAAATACCAGTACAACACTACTGTACAGTGTACAGGGTGTTCTATTTAAAAAAATGAGGTTAGGTTACATACTTATTTTGAGACCAGCAGATTACTCAAAAATTATTATAATGAAATTTTTGTAATAAACTTGTTTCTGTTTTAATTAAGGAAAATAGGGTCATTCTGAAATTGACAATTTTTAGCGCATTTTTTAAGAATTAACAAAATGTGTTATTGTTTGCGTTTTGTCCCTCCGTCAGGACTCACCTCTGCAGTTTTGGACTACTTTCAGGGGAATGGTCCTGGAATTTTTTGCAATGTGTACTTTGAAGGTGGCCATCAAATTTCGCTGTCTCAAAGGAGAGCCCCTCCATGACTTGTTTCCTGAGATGTTGCTGAGATGAGCTGTTTTTGAAAGTAAAACGTGCATAACTTTTACTTGCCCTACTTTCTCACTCCTTATCAAAAAAGGAGTTGGGGGGGGGGGGGGGCTGGCACGAAAGGAATTCATTTCTACCAACCATACCCTCCTCCTCGACTTATCACCATTGCAGTACACACGCACTTTTTGTTTCTGCATAATGCTCAATTAGCGGTTCGTATACAAAACATAGCGATTAATTGGCGCGACAAATACAGCGACTGTGTTTGTACCTCATTTAAAATTTAAAAAAATTGAGTGTGTATTTACACTTCTCTTGACGAATGTTACTCGGAAATATAGAATCTTGTATTGGTGTACTGTGTGGAGTCGTGATATGTAGGAAATTGAAACATTTTTGTACTTCCCCAAACTGCTGAAGAGATTCAACATGTGGATTGTAAATGATATCAAAATTTTTAAAACACAAATTTGTCATAATAATTTATACACAACGAAGTGTATAATTTACTCGTGCATGTTGTCGTGTTTTTTTGCGCTTGAACTGAATGACGCTATACCATGCTTTTCTTACCAGTTACAGTGAGTGTTGTTTGTATTTTTGTGCAGGTCTTTGCCAGCTCGACGGATAACAATAACCACTTACTTCTGGAAATATTTACCAGACCTAAGTGTTAGGTAACTAATAGCCGCTTTAAAAGATTTATGTATCTGTTTAGCAGGTCTGTTTTTCTCTCTCCCCCCGCGTTTACAATTGCATAAAAGTTTTTACTATTTTCAACAGTGACTGGTCAATTTGGCCAATAATGAACTGGACGTCGGCCAACGCTGCGCTGACATCAACAAATCTGTAGCAACTGCCCACTTCTGTTATAAACTTAAAAATCGAATTTCATAGCTTATAAATTACAACTGAAAAAATGAGTTCGCGATGCTCAATTTCATCTTTGGAATTGTAAAACCCGCATTTCTCATCCTGAAAACAAACCTGTTAGCAGATATTTTAGTTTACTGTCGCTCATACTTTACTCATTGTGTTTAGCATCAGCAGAGCCAGGGGAGCGGGGATGGTTACGTTCTCGAATGCCCTGACAGCTCGCAACTGGAGCAAAACTCAGTTTATCAGCAGTTAGGTATACAGCCTCAAGGTCTGATAGAGAATCGAATGGTAACGTCGTGCCTACCTTCGTCTCCATTACGAACAACTTTTAATCCATCGGGTCAAGTTTTCAACTTCGCCTACCCACCTCCGCCAGAGCCATCATTCGAAACGCAGCTGCTGCAGAGGCTACAATCCCTCAGCGGTTACACGCCACCGTATCCCTTCAACTATCCGACCTTAATGCAGCAAAACCTCTACAACCCAGCGCTGATGAACAGCACCTACCAACTGCAACCGCCGCCTCAAAAGAAATTCTCGCACTCTCCCTTAATGCAGCCATACACGCACTCCGGAAGTCCGGTTTTGGAAAGAAGAGTCAGTCCAGCACGCTCGAGCGCCGACTATCAACTTCAGCAGGACCAAATGAACCACAACCAATTGCAAGTCAACCAGAGCGCTCAACGATTATCGCCGGGATCGCAGACGCAGCCTCCCACCTCGCCCACAGTGCAAAGGCGCGAGCCACAGTACATCAAGCCGCTTTCGCAGCTGGGAACCCTAACGACCACCGACGTACAGGGGAGGGTACGCGTAATCGTACCGGTTCCTTCCGGTTCGCGAGAGGACGACACCGGAAACCTACTAGCCTCGCTGCGAATCGGCGACGAGTTTAGGCCGTCGATCACGCGATCGACAAGCGAAAAGGTGCCGAACAGAAGTGAACTGATGTCCCAGGTACAACGGACTGCCTGGGCGCGGCACACAACCAAATAAATATAACTTTTACAATGTAGATTTTTAGGTGTGTTTCATGTTCATCAAAGTGCAAGACTCGGATATGTGACGAAACTGAGTGTACTAGTCAATTATAGTGAGACACGGTGAACCATCAGAAAATCGTTTAATTTCTGATCTGTAAGTAGCTCGTGTGATTCCATCACCTACTAAATGTATATAATGGTGCTTAACTTCTTCTCATAATCCCTCCATTCTGATAGTTGCGGACCTTCTGATATCAAATGTAGGAGCTTTTCCGTGGTTTATAATGGTTGGCACTGTTTTTCCAAAAATTATCTCCAGTATTTACTACTTATTTAATTTAGTATGTAATTTATTTACTATTTAATCTAAGTTTGTATAAATAATATGTTAAAAGTATTAGTTGTTTATACATTCGAACTGATTTATTTTAAAAGATGTGAAAAGGGAAATAAAAATTGAAAGACTTCGACTTGTTTATTCTTTTTAATGTTGTTCATTGTGTATCTTTGAAATAATATTTATGTTGGGTTTTTATTCATATTCAACCGAATACTTCAACAGTTGGGCCAATGGCTCAACACGTTACGCAATAGCTTTTCAGTTGAAAATATATAAGGGTTTAAGAATCCTATGGAGGGCTAAGATGGACGCGAATGGTGGTGTATAACACCTTCCAGATCCCTCAGCTACGCACATGGGTCAGCCCCTTTAGAGTTTCAGTTTTGGGGTCACCAAAAGATAAACTTGATTACTTATTGAAGTAATCTCTACGTGACCACTGGCTCATTCTAGCTCCGGGCATGTTCTATTGTTACTCCAAATGCACCTTCTATCGTTTTAAGTACTACCTCCACGAATAAGCCATCTGGTTCCATGGGTTACAATGGATGAAACCACACTACCTTTTTTTCCAATCCATAGATCCATGTGATTTTATCCGTTGCACATTTCCGCGAGTGCTCCCTTGTATGAATTATTGGAGAGCATTAGGGCAATGTTCATATCTTCTGGAAGAACTTAATTTATTTACAGGATGTCCATCCGGACTGACCGCTTGTGACCTCCTTTTTCCTTTGGCGATTTCGAGCATTAGATTCCGCCAAGAATCAAATTTCCAAAACTTTTCTTCTCGCGTCCCATGGATAGGTATCTGATCGATTTGCATTTAAAGTTAGAAACCTTCCTCTCACCTAGGCAAGTATCTATCTCTTCTTACGGCTATCCTTTTGCCCTACCACTACATGCCATGTCCGGTTTACTATATTTATTCTCTACTTTCCTGTGGCCATCTCAGATAACTATTTACCGGGTTATGTATTGAAGAAAGGTGGTACTGTATAATGTATGTGAGAGAAATAAAGCATGCAAAAGTGTCTCTTCAACATGTAGGTAAATAAGTTGAGTTGTATTTCAATTTGTGCCGCAAAGGAAGAGTTTTCGATTTATGCCTAGATTTATGCAATATAAATAAAACGAAACAGGGGATTAGGCTAGCAGTTAATCTCACTTCCAACATTTACCATTTCTGCACTCCTGGACTGTATTTACTGTAACTCCTGTAGTTCCTGTATTTCCCACCTCTACATTTTGTAGTTTGGGTTGTTGCTATACTTGTTTCTACAGTTCTTGTAATTTCTGTGTTCCTGTACCGGGTAACCCAATAAGACTGTTCCTCGGCCATATCTCGAGAACCGTTCGTCATATGACTTAGGGGTAAAAAAAATTATTGGGTAAATCGGTGATGAAGAAACGCTGGAAAATATTTTCAACTTCTAAAAATGACCAACAGAGGGCGTAACTGCCATCTTAAATTTTAAAATTGCATTTTGTTTAAATTTCGCATAATAAACTAAATAAAATTTTTTCACATTTTTAAAGAGAACCATTTTATCTATCATTTTCGTAATAACAAAATAGTATATTGAAAGACAAGTGTTACAATGCGACCTATTGTAATACGACTATCTTGTGGCACGAGTGGCGACGCGAAGCGTAGTCACGAGTGTCCGCAAGATAGGAGTATTAAAATAAAGCATTGTAACACGCGTTTTTCATACTATTTTTTCTATTTCGGTGCTTTAATTTAATTAAAAAGATCATTATCAGAAACTATAGGGAACATTAGAACTAACATGTTTTATGTTGGTAACACTTTTTATGCCGTTAAGTTTTAGGTTGGCAGCGTAGTAAGACTGACATTTTGAAGTTCAAACATGGAAGTACCCAACGAAGTACCTACTTGTACTAACTAGTAACTGCCAACTTAAGAGATGAGTTACCAAAAAAAAACGACTATAATCACTGTCTTTGTACAACTGTTTTCGGCCGAAAACAGTTGTACAAAATCATCATTGTGACACCGAAATAGAAAAACTCATTTATTTCAAAAACAAAGATGGTGCGGGCGTTCAATTGTTTTTGCAATAACCTGCTTTAACTTCTTAACCGTTTGACCGATTTTAACAAATTTGGTACGGTTTAAAAAATCATTCCTTGGGCAATGAGAATCAACCAAAATATAGTTAATTTAGTTGAATCCTTCTCCACCAGGGAGCTAGTTTTGACATTATGACCCAAAATCCTAAAAAAAATACTCAAAATATATCGCCAGCATATTAAATGCTTCTTGGTTAGAAATCAGCATTTTAGAAAAGATTACAAACTCAGAAAACTGCACTTGAATGTAAACATAGCAGAATAATTTACAAATTACGGCTGTTATTTTATAATGCATCGTGTTTCATTTGTTTAATTTTCCAAGGCCTACCTAAAAGTGTAGGGTCCTTTTTCAAACAATCTTTCGCGCCATTGACAAATACCGGAAATGCGTCAAATAAGATACACATACAATTTAAGCATTTTTATTAATTAATTAATCTCATTTTCCCAATATTTGATCATGGTGTCAAAACTAGCCCCCTGCCGGAGAAGGATTCAACTAAATTAACTATGTTTTTGATTCGTGTTGCCCAAGGAATGCTCTTTTCAACGATACCAAATTTGTTACAAACGGTCAAACCGTTAAGAAGGTTATTGCAAAAACAATTGAACGCCCCACACCATCTTTGTTTTTGAAATAACTGAGTTTTTGTTTTTACGAAAATGATAGATAAACCGGTTCTCTTTAAAAATGTGAAAAAAGAATGTTTAGTTTATTATGCGAAATTTAAAGAAAATGCAATTTCAAAATTTTAGAGGGCAGTTACGCCCTCTGGTGGCCATTTTTAGAACTTGAAAATATTTTCCAGGGATTCTTCATAACCGATTTATCCAATAATTTTTTTACCCCTAAGTCATACGACGAACGGTTCCCGAGATATGGCCGAGGAACTTATTGAGTCACCCGGTACATTCTGTAATTTATATAAGTATTGTAACTTCCACTATTAATGTTGTTATTGTAGATTTGTGACCCAGTGGTATCTATAATGGCAGTTTCTCCAGTTGTAATGTGTTTCCTATGTCCATGTACATTCTGTAGTTCCTATGATGTAACCGGGACTGTTTGAAAAGAACTTCGGGTTCATGGTTATATTTGTTAAATCTTTCTAATAAACTTTTTTCCTTTTTCCTTCGTGCTCAGTACTTTTGGACCTACCTTCCGTACTTTTACGTCACAGATAAAAAGGGTTAAGAATAAGAAAGGATACGATTAATTTATCTTGCACTGAAGTAATGTTACCTCCACGTCCCGTCGGTACGCCACGTATTTGTTGATATTTACTGACAGACTCGTTGACTTGTAGTTGCTCCTTAGGTTATGAACTCATTGAGCAAAACTTACCCTTTTCACTTTGCCACTTTGGTACACAAAACAACGAAATCTACACAACATGCAAATGAACGTACTTACTGTCTGCAAGCGCTCGTTATTTATGTTGCAAACGTTGTAGCTTACGATATAAATAAAATATGCAATTCTCTAAACTACGACGACAAAGGCAGGATTAATTAAAACGAAAGGCTTGGTCTAATCTTTTCACAGCAATGTTCAATTTGAATGGCCAATGCTTCATAAATACAACATGCGGCGTTTTACTAACAATAGGTTTCAATCGTACCTCGATTGGCGTTAAAATGTATATCGAAACCAACTTGTGAAACAATATTTAGCACTTTTTTCTTTCCGCTTTCCGCGAACTGCATTTATACTACTCCTTAAGCTATATGTCAACCCGCACCTAGTACAGACCCTCCTTTGACCTATTATAAACTCGTGACAAAAAAATTTCCAACTTCAGAATGTAGGGTATATTTTCTTAGTTAAAGGAAAAATTGTCGAATATTTTGTAGTTTTGGGTATAAGTATACAGGGTCAGGTAAAAAAGTGATGGGAGATAACCTCATTTTTTTAAATGGAACACCCTGTATATTTTCACCTAAAAATAGCATATTAAATTCTTTTTTCAAAACTATAACACTTGGGTTGATATTCAAAAAAGATGCGAGCAAAAAATAAAAACAAAGTTATGGGACATAACCTCATTTTTTTAAATGGAACACCCTGTATATTTTCACCTAAAAATAGCATATTAAATTCTTTTTTCAAAACTATAACACTTGGGTTGATATTCAAAAAAGATGCGAGCAAAAAATAAAAACAAAGTTATGGGACATAACCTCATTTTTTTAAATGGAACACCCTGTATATTTTCACCTAAAAATAGCATATTAAATTCTTTTTTCAAAACTATAACACTAGGGTTGATATTCAAAAAAGATGATGCGAGCAAAAAAGAAAAACATATTCAACAGAATTAAAAAAAATAAAAAAGGCCAAATAAAAAAATTTTTTGAATTATTTAACTTTTTGAATCACCATTGAATTTTTTTAAAATTGTTAAAGTAATATTTTCAAAAAATAATTTTATGCTATCTTTTACACATACAGGGTTTTTTTTACCTTGCTCCGTACACTTATTTTAAAAACGGCAGATTATTCAACATTTTAACCTAAAAAATAGTATATTAAATTCTTTTTTCAAAAATATAACACTAGAGTTTTTATTTTAAAACCAGGTGTCAAATTCTTGACAGAATAGCTTCCTAGCTGAAACCAAAAATTGCCAACATATGTACGCACTTACAGACGGGAAAAATTTATTCTTTAAAAGTTGCTTAAAATGATCTAAAACGTCAATTTTTACGCATGCATTTTGTTTGCTTTTATTAGAGGGACCTACCATCCAAATTTCGTTAAAATTGCTCCATAAATAAGAAAGTTGGATGTTGCACATGCGCAACACTATTTTTTGCGCATGCATTTTGTTAGCTTTTATTAAAAGGACCTACCATCTAAATTTCGTTAAAATTGTTCCATAAATAAGAAAGTTGCATTTCTGCGCATGCGCAACACGATTTTTGCGCATGAATTTTGTTTGCTTTTATTAAAGGGACTTACCATAGAAATTTCGTTTAAATTGCTTCAGAAACAAGATCGTTGCGTTTTGCACATATGCAACACAA